CACACACACACACACACACACACCAAACAAACTGGACAACAACAACAACAAGCGAACCTCTGCTATCAGCTAAGTGGGGAGGAGTGAGGAGGGGGAGGAAAGTGAAAAGGGGGCTGATGGAAGGGGGGGGGTTAAGGGAGGCAGAAGGAGGGAGAGATTTGAGGGTGCAGATGGAGGGAGAGAGAGGAAGCATGAGAGGAAGCACAAAGAAAGATCGACAGAGACGAGATATGTTGCTCAAAAGAAAATAACTTGAACAAACTCAATCAGCGGCGAAGAGTCTGAGGACGTTTTTCAAACCACTTCAAGTTTGAACGTTTTGAGTTTAAAACCTCACCTGACGTTCACGTACACACGTCATGTGGTGTGAACAGGAAGTAGATTGTCTAATCTGCAGTTTGTTGCTTAGTTACAGAAAATACTAACGAACGAGGAACAGCGATGGTGAGAATTAAGAGCGACGACGAGTCATGTGACTGACAAGAACCAATCAGGAAGAGAACGTGGGCGTCTGCGTTTAAGAAAAATCTCAGTTTCTGTTCGTCCAAAATAAAACTCAACCCAGAGTCATCAAACTAAAAGGAGTTTAAGTCTCAGAGCCTGAGTCACACACACGTGTCTCTGACTTTATTTATACATGTTGACTGTTGGTTTGTGCCCTTTGCATGTGTAAATGTGTGAGTACCTCCAGTGTGTGTGTGTGTGTGATGTCTCCTATTACGCGAGGCTGGGCGTGGGAATGTGTGGAATGCCGGGTGACGTCAATGGTGACATTCCCGGAGCCCTGAGTCCCTGGACAACAGCTGAGAACGACAGATCCAAGGGAGGAGGAGGACAGGGAGCGAGGGAGAGAGGGAGAGAACAGGCGAGGGCAGCAGAGGGGAGAAGATGGGAGGACAAGTTTGAAAATGGAAAGGAATGAGTGAGGAGAGGAGAAGTGTAACCGCTGGCGAGGTGGGAAACGATAAGAATAAAAGATGTGGAAAAACAGAGGAGAAGAGGGTGAGAAGAAAGAAAGGGAAGAGAAAGGCTTGGGCGTGCAAAGCTGAGGAGAACAGGAGCTGAACTGCTTCAGATGACAATAATCATTAAAAAGTGCTCGTTACTGCGCTCGGGAACTTAACTCCTGTGTTCGGTGAAAAGTTTAAATGTGGAGCAGATGAATCACTTTGCAGCCAAACTGTCTTTACCCACAGGGGGAGACGTTACTGTGTTCTTTTAAAAACACATCAACAGCAAAATAAACAGTATGACTCTGAGGAAGAGGAGCACACGCTAAATGTTATTGAGAGAACCTCTACAGATCTATTTGTAATCCATCAGAGCAGAGTCACACCGTGAAAAGCAACAGCACCTTCAAGTGTAAACTGGCGAGGGACTTTGTGACCGTTTGAAAAAAAAACAAACTCGTCAAAACATCATTAACGTGAGATTTGTCGTTTCCTTCGTGAGCGACAGAATCAACACAGAGCGGAGCCAAGAAACTCTTCCTGAGCTCTGAACTCAATTATAAACTGTTCTGTGATTAAATACTTCAATAATGTTGGTTTTTATATTTATTAAAAAGAAAATCTACATTTACGGGTTGTACGTGGATCATAGAACAGAATTTACAAACACTTCAGGCAAAACTTAGGGCAGAAATCTGACTTAATTTATATTCACTTCTCATATTCAACACATTTTTTTATTAAGAGAATGAAAGAGTCACAAAAAAAACACCTTTGACCGTATCTGTTACTTCGGGCCCGGCTGCCGCTATCTGTCCCGGACTAATGGGATTTAAAGAGAAGCTCTGGCCAGCGTCAAAGTCACCTCTGAGGAGAGACCTGTGCCAAGACGAGGGACAGTTGGAGGGGGCGGGGCCTTAGATTATTCCTGAGAGGAGACGAGGGGGAACAGCTGAGAGCGACGGGCGACAGGGGTGGGGGATGGGGGGGGGGCTGACGGACATTTGGTTCCTGATGCTGCTGTTGTTTATGAGCTGGTTCAGGATCAGAGTGAACACGACTGAGTCTTTGTTTCTGTGTAACTCAAATACACAAACACATCGACCGGCCAATCAAAACCTTTGTACACAAAGTTGTTTGTTGTAACTTGATGTATTTTCTTTTAGTTGTTGTTGTTGTGTTGTGATTTGCACTTCAGGGCCACCGTAGTTTTCTGGGATCAGACAAGTTTTTTTTCCTGATGACGGACGACGAATCTAAACTAATCAAAAGAGTCTGTGGAGCTGGTTTTATTTTAATTTCTTTATAAAATAACATGAATTCAGTTTCTCTTCTTATTCAATCAAACAGATTAAATCTTCATCGGAGTTTCTGTCGTTGACCAGATCCCAGAAACAAACCTGCTCAGGTTCAGAGGCTCGGACTGAGTCTGTGACACTGAGCGACACGAAGCTCTGGAAACAACAGTAACACACAAAACAGCTGAGAGTTCCTCTGTTCCGTCTCTTCTCCAACTCTCTCACAACCTGAAACCCTGAAACTCGTTCTGGTCTCTGGACTGTTTACAAGCAGCTTGTTCTGTGACCATCAGCTGTCGTCAGCCAACAGGTGTTTTCATGCTTGTGTGTGTGTGTGTGTGTGTGTGTGTGTGTGTGTGTGTGGGTGACACAACATATCCTGTAAACCTCAGTCTGCTGAACGTCAGGTTTAAATATCATTTACTTTTAAAAGTCCAGAGAAAATACTGAAAGCAGAGAACAGCAGGGACGCAGGTGTGTGTGTGTGTGTGTGTGTGTGTGTGTGTGTGTGTGTGTGTGTGTGTGGTTTCCTCAGAAAAATGTGAAGAACGAGAAATGAGCAGATCTACTTACGGACTGGACTCGGGCACGCTCCGTTTGAGTTCCCCAGATCTCCTAACAGAGCCCCTGGAACACAGAGATCATTAGACGTCACGACACGAACAACATTTCATATCACAAACTTTATCTGAACAACTTTTATCTTCACTAACGTCATTAAAGGGAAACTTCAGCCTGTGAAGCACCGGACATGTAAATCTCTAAGAGTCGGTTTCACCACAAAAAAAAACAACTCATCACACTTCTTTTAATTTGTGGGAATAAAAACTGATGTTCACCCCGAATGATCATCTTCATGTTTACAGCCTGTTTGAGAAAACCCCCAGAAATCATCACCCTCGGCTCCAGGAGGCGTTCTAGCCTCTTTCAGCTCATTGTTTTTTAAAGTGAGGAAATATTCGTGTCTATTCTTCGGTTCGCCACAGGAATGACTCAGATCGAATCATCTCATATATTATGTGTCTTTTCCTAATGTGATCGTGTGATTCCAGCTTGTTCTGCTGACAAAGAGAAATCAATCAATTATTACAGGCTTGAAAAATGTCGGGAGATGAATGTGCTCGGTCTCTGCACAGCGCAGTGTGTTTGTATGTTTTCTAAACTCGGGGTCGTTAGGGGCGACTGAAAAATATCTGGCTGTGTCGACGCATTGGAAAAACACCATGAACCCAATGCGTCTCTGGCAACGTGGGATGCATCTCTGCTCCGCTGCTGCGTGAAGCCCTCTTCCCTCGGCATGTTATGAAAGATGCTGTAATGCATTTGTTGCGCGTTACATCACCTAATTCTGACTTACAATGAGATTATGCTGCTCGGAACAAAGCTTGATAAGTAACCTTGTCTGAGACGCAAAAATTGGGACACAAATCCTTTTAGTCGGAGGGCGGAGGATCGGTTTGCCACACAGACGCAGCAGCGGCCTCAGATTTCTGTCTTCGTTAGGTCGTGAGCTCTGATCAGAGGTGAACACTCACTTCTCAGGTTGTTTTGCTTTTCAGAAAATCCTCCATAAAACACAGTCGTCACATAAACGGGGCGGAAAAATAACTGTATTGAAATAGCTTCATCTCCATGACAACAGTGAATATGAGCTCAGGGGATTAAAGGTATGAGAGACGTTCAGAAATTCACACCTTGACGTGTGAGGAAGAAGAACAAGACGTCGGGTCTTGATTAAAACAAACCGATATGAGTCAGTCACAGACACGTGGGCGTCTGCGTTCATGTTTGCTGACATGAAAACTTTTATTGTACAAGATTTGACATTTTATGTAAAAGAAATGTGTTTATTTTCTTAATTCAAGTATTATACTTGTGTTTTCTTTCTACTTATAGTTATTTATTAGAGAGTTTAAGTGGAAGATATCAAACCTGAGTATTTGAGAATTCGATAACGACATATCTGGATCAACAAGATAAAGTGCGTTGGCTCAAGTTTCAACAGAGATCGGTTTAACATGTCTTTGTGTGTCCAGTTTACAGCTCGTTGAGTTCAGTCACATGGTGAAAGTCCCAACTGATGATTTGATGAAAGTTTAACAGACGACCGTAATGTGCAGGAATAAGAGAGTTCAAAATCTGCTCACATTTAACAAACTATCACAGAAAAACACAGAAATGAACAATTTACATTTATATTAAATCTACTTATAACAGAATTCTGCAATTTTATCAAAACTAATTTATTTAATTTTATTACAAACTATTGTAGGAGCCTCTTGTGCGCACAAGATGTCAAGTTATTCACACACAATAAATTATTTAGACAATTTACCAAGATTATTGCTGCTCACAAAAACTATAAAAGCAACTTACACTGGTGGTTTTCAAAGCATGAGCCAATTATATCTTTACTATACAGATAATAACTTGTTCCCATGATGTAATTATCTTCTGCAAACAACTAATTTATGTTGAGCGCACAAGAGAGAAAATATCACGTCTGCTTTTAGTGATTCTCAGGTTGAATCTTGGCCTGAAGCTGCGTCAGAGGAGGGAGAGAACATCTCTGGAGGAACGATTAAAGTGAGGAACGATTAAAGTGAGGAACGATTAAAGTGAGGAACGATTAAGGCAGGCTTGAAAAAGAAAAGACCGTCACATTTTTAAATTTGAACAGAAACCCAAGTTCCTTTATCTTTTAATTTTTGCCGTCTCTGCACAAAACAAACCTTAAATTGTTGTTAATATTTACAGAAATGTAAAAATCATCAGTGGCTAAGAATTGAAAAAAAATTTCAAGGACAAAAACAAAATTCCCTGAAGTTTGAAGCTGCAAATAGAAAATCAATAATAAACGGAACAACAAGCAGCTGAGGAACTGAAACTTCACGTCTGTGCTCTCTTACCTGCGCTGGCAGGTCGCTGTGGCAACCCCGGCGACACGGTGTTCCTCTGCAGAGCCGGTTGCTGCGGTGACAGGAGGCGGGGGTCTGTGAGGGTGGAGGTGACGAAGGAGGTGGTGGTGACCAGGGCGCCGCCGGGGTTGTTGCTGAACTGGAGGGCCGCCGCTGCGTTCTGATTGGACACTGGCACGGTGACTGGCATGGAGAAGGTGGGCTGTGGGACGGTAGACTGGTGGAGAGACAGGGAAGGGGGGGGGGGCTTAGAGTGTGTTGAGTGAATGTTTAACCTGACTGACAAACACACACACACACACTCACACACACTCACACTCAACTAAAACAACCAATCACAACAAGAAGAGTTTTTCCAAAACCAGATTTTGTTAAATAGTGTTTCGTAACAGTCGCTGGATGCTTCCTGTTACTCACCATTACTACACATCGCAGGTTCTCAGTTTGATTTACAACTCTCCAGGCAGTGACGGGGTTTTTAACTCGCGTCATTAGAACCAAACCCAAATGAGTTGAGATCAGTGGTGATTCATTTGTCACCCTCCGTTTCTCATCAGGGCAGGAAATCAATCTCCGAGTGTCGGACGTGACACGTCTCTGTGATTTGTTTTCAGATGCATGAAACATGAAAACACTGTGAAACAGGTCGTTCGTGATGGAAGCATTTTGTTCAGAATGTACATTTTGGAAGGTTTTGGAAAAGAAACTCTTCAAAAAACACAAACAACGAATCTCTCTCTCACACACACACACACACACAGACACACACACAGACACACACACAGACACACACACACACACAGTCGCTCAGTTGTAGCATGCAGGGTGACTTGGTGGAAAGCTGTGTCGCCTCTCACACCTCATGCCAGGTTAAAACAGCAGCAGGTTATTGGTGACGTTTCAAAGCGAGCGTGTCACATTCTAGCTGCACCCCCCCCCCCCCCACACACACACACACACACACACACACACTGTCACACATTCGTCACCGGGAACAAAAATCTCCATCGTCTAACTAACTTCCCCCCGGGGGTTTGAGTGCCTGTCTAGAAAGTTTTTAAAGGCCGACCTCGTTATCTGAGCGGACCTATGAAGGTGGACCTCCAGACGCACCGGGAAAATAAATACAAATAAAAAAAATCAAGGGCATGAACTCGGGTTGTCCAGCCCTCCGACCCATTTCACCCTGTTCCAGTCTGGAAACAGGACTTCTATATATAGAATATGGGCCAGGGCTGAACTGTGCTGCACTGAAACTGCCTGGGACCCAGTTTCACACAGAGGAGGACAAGGACACCTCCCTGTCCTTGATCTCTGCCTCGTGGACTGAAACCAGTGAGACTGAAGCTGAAGTCGTGAAGTCTCTGCTAATGATTCATTTCAATGACTCTGATCAGATTTATTGTGTGACAGTCGTTGTGAGTAAAGATGGACAACGTGTCTCCACCTCCTCAAATATCCAAGAAGTCAATCACGACGTCTCAGCACATTTTTATCAAACTATTTCAAACCAAACTGATCAGAAACACCTGAACAAACATCAGTGAGATGAGAACTGATAGAAACCATCATTGTGATGTCTTTGAATGTTTGGTTCATGTCCCATCTGTTAACAAGGAGGAGGAGGAGGAGGAGGAGGGATTTGATCAGGACGTTTAGGCTTCACTTTTGAGGAGCTGTCATGTCGTCCATCTTTATTCACAGTCTATGAAAAACTGTGAACACGAAAAACTACATTTTTGAATAAAGTGAAAACTGTTTAATGACAATATGAACTTGTCTCTGGTTTGGTTTCGGACATTCTGGTCGATGGTTCGATCCCCGGCTCGTCCAGTCTGCTCCGCACGCTTTGTGTGAATGGATGAAAGTGTCTCAGGTCTGTTTATGAAGGCAGCTCAACATTACAGGTTTTTATAATCATCAAAGATGAATTATCTCAACAAACGATAATTAATTAGGATTGTGAGAAATCGACGGCAGAGAGCTGCTTTGAGTTTCTGAGTTATCCTAACTTCTTCTTTTTACAGTGAACGTTCATATCTGGACGAGTTCTTCTTTCATTTCCGGGGTCTGTTCATGTGAGTTTCTAATTTTTGCAGAAAAAACTACAGGAAACACAATAATTCTTCTTCTTTAAATCAAAGCCGCAGAGAGAGGAAGGTGCATCTGTCCCTGAGACGTCCCGTCACTGTGAAGGGGACGTCTTCCATGACGGAGCTGTAAGGGGGGAAGATAGCAGCTAACAGCTAACAGCACTGCACCACTGCACACCTGCCAAGCAAAGGGCAAGGGGGGGGGGGGGCGGATGGCGTGGATAAATGGAGGGGTGGATGGGAGGGGGTGAGGGTTTAGTGCAGAGAGGGGATGGAGGTGTGTAAACACGGAGCATACAGCACCACAGGGATTCAACCTCACAAGGGCTCAGGGGGTAAAGTGGGTTTCTCTGCAGCCTGACACATTTAGCTTGTATGGAGAGAGGCTGCGTCTCTGCCGGAGGACGAGATGTGAGGAGACGCCCGACCGACTTCGAGACAAACTTCTGTCCCGCAAACGATTTAAGACTTTTGATTCAAAGAGGTTCTGTTTTCACCGCGGTCCATTCGTGGGATTGTGATCGAGATTCCACAATCGAACGCATCACCACGAACACGTTTGGAAAAATGTGGGTGTGGAACCGACTTATTACATTTTGGTGCACGTCCAGGAATTTCACATTTTTTAACATGTGAGCTGAAGTGTTTTTTAGTTTTCAACCTTGTTCAATCTACGTATTTAGTTGACTTATAACTTATTAACTCAACTTTCTTCGGTCTGATCATAATTTGTTCTCGGCCACTTCTCCACTCGGCCTCCATGATGGCGCCAGCCTCTGGTAGCCAGGAGACTTGGTGACATGAGCACAGACCCTCTTCACTTTGTAAATATGAATTTTAAATTTGTCCTCACCCTGCTCCGCACCGAGCTCCGCCGAGCATTAATCCGTGTCTCTGGCAAATTACACGTGAATTTACATCCACCCACTTCAACTCCATTCATCACATCGCTGCTAATAGCGGACAGGAGGGTTAATTGGCCGCCGGCCGTCATCTTGCTGATTTAACGCAGCGGAGAAATGAAATAAATAAGAAGCTGTTAGGTAAATAATTGACTGGGACTTTTACCGGAGGCTGGTGTGAGGGAGCTCAAGGCCTCTTCTGTGTGATGAGGGGAGAGAACACTAACCTGCTCCCCCTCGGAGGAGCCGCTCAACAAGGTTGTGTTTCCTGGATGCAAAGGTAAATCAGAATGAATTAAACTCATGGCCTACTTTCTCTTCTCTCTCCCTCTTGTCCTCAAAGCCTTTGAAAGCAACTTTGCTTTTCTAACTTGAGGTTTGTCGCATCCTACTTGTCAGCGGCGCTGGAGCCGAGGAGACGTGAGCGTGACCTTTAGCTGTTACAGCAGTTGACCAGTCGAAGTGTTTTCAGTTCTTCATCCCTGATATTTGAATAAAGATGAAGGAAGTTAACTCTCGTCACCTGCGTTGAGAAGGTTTAATTCAAATGAGGGCGGTTTTATCTGCAGCTCCAAACACATAATTAACAGGGATTTTTATATTTCTGACGCATTTCGTGGTGTGAAATTACAAAATGTGTTTTGAGCACACTGCAGGGGCGGAGGGGTCGCCGGCACATAAACGAGACGCCAGAGAGAATCAGCTCTGCAAATTATCATATCACAGTCGAGGTCGTTAATGTTTACTGATGAAAACATATTTATATACGACTTCTCCAGAAATATTTAACACAGAGCGTCTACTCCTGTAAATGATATTTATTCAGTTCTGCCTGTTACCGCTGGGTCATAATGTCAAATTACTTATTGTGTTTGAAATAAAAAATAAAGTTTTGCATGAATAATGACTGTAAATC